TTGGCCTTGTTGAACTCCCTGAGTTCAGCATGAGTTCAAATAACAGCTTAAGTATCATCTTTTAGCATTGGGGGCTCATTAAATACAAGGAGTTTGGGTTTTTTACATATATGCTCTCTTAAATTAAAAAAAAAGAGAAAAGACTGTTTTCATTTGCTGTGATACAGGTATCTGAATCTCAACTAAGCTTCATCCGCCCTTCAGAGAGGGAAGGAAAAAGCACCTCCAAAGAGCAATGTGTGCGACATACCCTAGACAATAAAATCTTAAAATCAGACCGTGTGCCCTGTGTAGGTACTTGTGTGTCACTTCACTCTCAGGGGAGCCTACAAAGATCAGCACAGGCTTGGATGTCCGAGTAGCAGCTGTCCCAGAGATGAATCCAGCTTTTATGGGGTGTAGGCTCACCATCTGTCCGAGGTTCCTTCTAGTCAGTGGGGGGCTGGAAGTCAGTTTTATTGTATTGTAGCATTAACACAAATTATACATCCACTGTTGCAGAAGAGGGATGTGGTCTACATCTATTTGACCTCTTCCTTACATAACTTCATGCTGGTTTTGAGGACGGAACGGGCAGCAGAGCAGATGATAAATTCGTAGACGGGAATAACCGGGAAGCACAGCATTGCTTTGAACAGTGGTTACTGCTGTGACTTACAGCAGAGCTGCCACAGCGACGTGCCGTGGTACAGCAGAGCCGAGACGTGGCAGCTGGGATTCAGACCCATCACACCAGTATGTGGACAGGAAGGGAACTTTGCTGTAGACTGGATAACTGGGGGGCGGGAAGGGATGGATGGGCAACCGCTGCCTCCAGCAAAGTCATGAGGAACTGAGGAATGGGGACACGACACTTGTGACACAGGTGCATTTGGCAGGTGGGCCCCGCTCCTGCTCCACTGCTGGCTGATGCTCAAATCCAGGAGGGTGGGGCGTTTTGTTTGAGTGAACATACGCCTCGGCCACACATACCAAAGTCAGAGCAAACAGCTGAGTCCCACGAAAGAACCTTGCCCCTTTGGATCCGACCACTTCCAGCTCTGCTAGGAAGTTCCTAAGTACGTACAAATGCAATTAAAGAGCAGCTAGCGCAGGTCTCGGTGTTGAATCTGAGGATGCAGCTAAATCCTCTGGTTTCAGGCAAAGCCAGTTGGGTTGTTGTGTAGGACTGCCTCCTGGTGGTGGTACCGGCGGCCTGCAGGACGACGCTTGTACCCAGAAAAGGCAAAAACCTGCCTTTTCTCTTTCTTTTTTTTGTGCCGCTTTTCTGTTCGGGTCTGAGGAGAGGAAGTGGGAACTTTCTTTTCACTGGGACAGCAAGGTAAACCGAACTGCGACTTCAACGGTCTCAACTGAGGACAAGCTTTTTGATACTTGCGTGAACCAGAGTTTTCCTAACGGTGTGCTGGCGAACAAAGCCTGAGAACACTTCCAGTGAGACATTAAACCCCCACAAACCCCAGATGGGTGAGACATGCCCACCTGTCTGCAGCAGTGAGCCTGCAGAGGTCTGACACGATGGGTACCAGACAAAAGGCAAATGGCTAAGTCGGACACAGAGACACCCGAGCAGGCCTAACACTTGGTGAATTCTGCGCAACTAAAGGCTTCAGTTACCAGGAACAAGAGCAACAGAAAATAAAATCCCAAACTTTCCAATGGATTATTCTTCTGCATAGAAGTGGGACAAGGATCAAATGGATGGATTTCTAATTCCAAATCTTCAAGTGAAAAGAAAGGGATAAAAGAGCTTTATGGAGTTGTTCAAGACCTAGAAAACTAGGCTTGGAATTCCTGTGAGAGTAGGGTTCTAATGAGGTTATGCTTCAGATGACCCAGGAGAAAGGTTTAGTAGAAGGGAGCGTAGAACGAGTGAGAGCGGCAGTGTAATGTTCTGTGAGCTGACGGGAGTAATGAAACGGCAGAGGGTACACGTAGTGCACATGGGTCTCAGACTCGGTTTCCAGCAACTGGACAGAAGAGGAAGTACTTTAAAGACAGTGGTCCAGCACATCATAGATTTTCAGCCCTCAAAATGCCTGAAAAGCATCCAAAAATGTTTGGGAAGCATTGAGAAATCCAACCTTTCTACAGCGACTGTGGATGTTTGATCATAAGCAGAGGCTGTCGGGCAAGAACAGACTAATGCGGTAACAGAAGGTTTCTGTAAAGGAAAATGTCTTAACAGTATTAGGCAGCAACAAGCGAAAGCATTGGGGAGAAGAAGGGGGAAAAAGAATTTAAAGTAATCCAAGGATGTATTTTCTGCCGCTGGAGTAAAGTCAAACGGTGACAAGTTAGGTCTCAGCCCGCTTTTATGCAGCGGAGCATAGCAAAGCACTAAATGCGAGATGAAAGCTTCTCATTTACTATGCGGTGTCGGTACAGGCACCATGAATGGATGAAAACACATCTGTTGTATTCCACATTACTAAAAACTATCTTACGAGTTATATTCTGGGCAGGAAAAGTAATTGTTTTCATGCGACTGAACGTGCAGAGTAGGCAGCGATCCTTTTCACAGGCACAACAGACCTTCCTTCCCGATAGCACGTTTGTCGTCACGCGAGCAGCACATCGTTTAATGTGGAGCCAAAATCACTTGGCTGATGAGGGCTCAGACATGGACTCGGGTGTCTTACAAGCCCAACACAGTAAGCAAAGCCATTTCATGCTCTGCCATGACAAACTGGTATCGGCTTCTTGGCATTTGGACTTAAAATGCATTTTTTAAAGTAACACCAGGATAAACACTTGGACTGGCTTTATGTAACATTTTCCAGAAGCGGTTAAGGGCAGTCTTTTTACACACATCCAACACTGCTTTTTTCACAATTAAAGGAAACTCGAGGAAAAAACCTTATTTAGGAATAGCTTTACATGTTCTTTATGCTAAGGATGACCAGGATTAGAGACTCTGTGTGGTCCTCAACTCCTGGCGAAACCTGCAGATGACATGCTGGCAAAATGACTAACACAAGATCCAAGAACCTTCCCAGCTCACCTAGGTTGCTGGGGAAGGGAAATGCAATCAAAACGTATGACATGGATGGGATAATTATTTTCTGGTTATTTATAAGGGCCTGCTAAGACGACTTAGCACAGCCGCAGTATCTCTGCAGAGGCACAGTGCCCCCAGCCAGCCTGTTCTATCAGAAGACTGATGCCTCACACGGTACATTGGGGTGTACTAAACCCCTAAAAAGGAAAAGGAAAATGAACCCCCAAAACAAGACCAAACCCTAAAGTGTCCCGTTCCAGACTTCCCATTTTGACAGAGCACTTCTCTGCATCCGCTTCACCTGTTACACCCAGCTGTATGACCAGCACATCCACCGACTGTCCAACAGCCTCCACTGAATCCTTCCTTCAGCGGTGCCGTTCTCTCGTTTCCCTGCCAACTAGCTGAAGCAGAAAACAACAGTCAAATTCAGTTCCGTGTTTCCGTTACAGCACTCACGCAGGACTCTAAGCATCTCGCTTTCCCCAGTTTTTATTTCCCATAACGATTAATAGTGACGTGCTTGTGAACAGGAAGTTAACTATCGGTCTTTGGGAGGATTAGGATTCTTGCGTCTTCTGTGATACCTACAAGAAAAGAAGGCTGCGGTGAATGTGAGCTCCAGTCTCTGATTCCCCCGGTATTCTGCCTCCGCTGAGTGATCTGAGGTTCCAGAAGTAAGCACAACGTGAGACACGCGAGCACAACCCATCACCACTTGTCTCTGTTGTTTGTGGGGTTACATAATGCTACTCATTTCTAGTGCTGCATCTGCTACAAGCACGCAATAATCCAATCAGTCCCACAGCTGAATAGGTACAAAGGCTGCTGTTTGCTCTTAATCCTTTGTGTGAGGTTAATTTTATTACATGGTCAGCTTTTCCTTTGGCTGAAATGATTGCGGCAGAACAAAGAGACGATGTTTAAAGGAGTTACGCCAGGCTATATGTAAAACAGTGTAATCTGTTTCAGACAAACTAAGACCCAAGCTCCTCACAACAGAAATGATCCCTACTGCCCTCTTAATTACCTGCCCTAAACCAAGGAAGATCCTGTTTGATGCTCATTAAAGTGACAGCTACCCTTTGGCCATGGAAAGTTCTACTATTCCATCCTTTTATCTACTCCCAAAACAATATCATTAAAATGTTTTCTGTGGACAAATCCCCAAAAAACCCCACTCTGCCTGTCTCAAGGCTCCACAGCTATAAAATCAGCAGCTAACAACAGGTGTAGTAACAGGCACTGGCGAGTCGACACAAGCCAGAATGCCGTCTGTTCCCATTACTACAGCCGAGGGGATGTGGTTCCTCTAGGCTCAGCCACTGGCACCTCTCCTCCTCCTCCTCGCTGCAGAATGCAGGGCACACCAAGGGTGCTTTTCGCCATTTCAGATGAAGACCCTCCGCCACCCTTCAGTCTGAGGATCACCCCGGCAAGGCTTTTTTCCTGAGAAGCTGTTAAGGAGCAGACAGCTTGGGTTGGAACAGGATGGTCTTTAAGGTCCCTTCCAACCCAAACCACTCTGTGATTCTATGTTTCCAGGGTGCGTTTGGCTGTGCCCGCTGAGGGTGCGTTACACACTAGGTCCCTCTTATGCGACTCCAGCAAATCACCTGAACCAGCAGCTGACTAGATGGCATGAGAAACTTCTGCTGTGACACCTCTTGCCAGAATCAAGTCGCAAAGGCTACCAAAGGGGCAGCGTTGAAACAACCCTACAAAACACAGCCTGCCCTTTACACAATGCTGCGGTTCGGCTGTTAGGCAGCAGCCCACGTGCTAACAGCATCTTGTCTCACATGACTTCCCTGAGGTTGAATAAGGTCATTAAACTATTCCTGTATTTCCCTTGACCTCCAGAAGGAGCAAACACTGGCAAGAAAATACTTACTGTCCCACGGGATACCAGCGGTGTTTGGTTGTGTAAAACATTTTGCTGAGCTCTTCAATTGTAGGGCCATTGTTGTTCTTCAGCTCTTTTTTATTCAATCTGGACTTCAAAACTTGATCAAGGGTCTCTTCTTTATTATTCACCGGATCTGGCCGTGGTACAGGCTACAAAAACAGTAAGGTACATAGTTCCTTTTTTTGAGAGGATCAAAAAGCCATGCTACACAGACAGCATTACGGTGTACCCGTAACAGCTGAAACCAGAGGAACGCAGAAGAACGCCTGTAACTGTAAAGGCTGCTTACCACCCGCCGCGAACAAAGCCACACCGCCGTGGAGCAGGTGTCTACAAACAGCTCATTACGCCAGGCGCTCCAGCTGACTGCCCTACCCCTGCTGTCACCACCACTGCTGACCTCATCCTTACAATTCCCCAGCTGAATCATAAGCTTCCGTTCTGCTAACACAAAAGGACTCGTCCTATTCCTCTTTAGGAATTAATGCAGTGACGATCGTCATCGCTAACAAAGCTTTTCTGTGATTTGTACCTTGGAGAAGAATGTCGCTTCTCATTCGCTGTGCAGCTGCCAAGCCCAAGACGTTTGTTCTCGACCTGAAACCTAACCCCTAGCACTGTTACAAATATTTTTCCTTGGTTTAGCCTTTCACACCTGTTTTTCCCAAGAGACATGCAACTGGTAAATCTTAAAGCACCGATACCATAACTTGGGGGCAGTGCGCGCTGCGAGTTTGCAGCAGAGAATTTTCACACTGGGTACTTCAGCAAGGTAGCTGCCCTCTGCAGTACTCTGCTAGCGCATGAGAACCAGCAGTGCAACCAAAAAGCCTACACTAGAAACATTTATCTGTAAAGAACACACTGAAAATACTACTGATGGGTGAAAGTTCAATTATTTGAGGTTTTCTGCGGTGGTTACGAACCGGGCGGGCTGAATGGCACTTAAAGCTGGAGTTGGACACAGCAGCAGCAGTTCTGTACGTCCGCTTGCCCGGACTGCTGCATGTGCACCCAGCAGGACGTGTGAACCGTACCCGGCTTCTCCAGCACTCCCCCTGAGGAACACACTCACAGACAGACCGCAGATCCCTCTGCAGCGCCAAGTCTTTCTGTTTCAGTTGCAGTGCAATACCCCAGCATTTCCTCCTCTGCAACTTTCCCTCCATCCAGTTAGGAGTAGGGTCCTCCTCATGGCAGCAGCTGTGCTCACTCACCTCTCAGACACGCTGATCAAAGCACCTCCGTATTTCCAATCAAAAAAGGGTGCCCTGAAGACTCAAAATGTTACGACCTACTCGTGCCTTGACAGGAGTCAGGAACAGAGACGCGTACACTGGGACGTACTTTTGTGTGCTCGTAGGGAATCTCAAGCGAAGGGTGGTAGCAGACAATTGTCTTCAGATCTGATGTCACGGCAAGTTCCACTTTGCTACAAAAATAAAAACGGACGCTCTTACATATATCCTTTACAATTTTCAGAAATGCTGAGCACTGAGCAGCCCGAGTCCCAAAGGAAACCGGATTTGACCCTGCAGGGATGAAGCTTTAAGAATCTTCTGTAAAATAAACCCCTATAAAATAAGGGACACAAATACTTGATCTGAACGTCCCTTCCCTCCCGCCCCCATCCATCCTCATGTTTCTTTTTTGGATGGACAGGAAAATAGGGCTAAAATAGAGTATTAAAAATGGCTGGAAATATGGGTTGGAAAAAAAAAAATCTGTAGCAGTTTGGATAATTGCATATAGAACTGTAGCAGCAGATGGGGATAATGATGTCTAGGACAGCATGCCTTTACAAGAAGCATGGCACCTCCAAAAGAAATAGGGAACAAAGCTCTGTCTGGGGTTCCAGCTTCTACATTTGGTAGAAGCTGATAAGCACAACGAACGAAAAGTCCTACTGCGAGGTTCCTTAAGGGAATATGACTTTTCTCTCTCTCCTTCCCCTGACACATTAGCTTCCTTAAACCCTGTATGACAGAGATCCTGTATTTCTCACTGCATCTGCATCGTCTTTTCTGGTTTCTACACAAGTTTCCCATGCAGCAGCACGGAAACACCTGGACTTTGTCACAGCAACTAACGTCGGTGAAGATAACTGCGCTGAGCTACTTTTGCTCCTCCACAAACAAAACTGCAGGGCACTGGGGTCACCATCGTCTGTAGAACGAGTCCTGCGTGGTTTTGCATTACGCTTAGTTTTTGACATACTAACTTCACAACCGCTATGATCAGAAATAGTACTTTAGGTAAAATTATCACATATAGCCCAAACTGGCAGAGGATGTATCTGATACCATTATCTGACAAGTAATGATAAGGTATCAGATAATCAACTTCCTGCCAGAGCAAGCAGCCCTGGAATAAACATCACATGCCAAGGCCACACATCAAAGCGCATTTAAGTACCAGTTGTAGTCTTCAGGGAGAAGCGAGTATGTAGATTTACTGCAAGCAGGATACACAGCTCCATCTGCAAAAAAAACCAAAACCGAGTAAGGAACTCTAATGTGAAAAGAAGCAGAGATGTGTCAAATTTAAGAAAGTTTACATTTTCATTCTGTTCTAAGGCTTATAGTTAGGAGGTTATAATCATACTCAGATTCAACAAAACCCAAATACTGTCTCAACAGAAGTTCACTTTACTACCCAGACTGCTAGTGCAGTCAGAAAATACAGTAGGCGGCTGTCCTGGTTTTGGCTGGGATAGTTATTTTCCTCCGAGTAGCTGGTAAAGTGCTGTGTTTGGGATGGCACAGAGGGGGGTGGCTGAAATGTAAGTATGGGCAGGCCTGGCAGGTTGACTACATCTCTCTCCCCAAAACCCAGCAGGGCAAGTGCTCACAATGGTGGAAGCAACCACCAGATGGCTGGATGCTACTGCCCGAAATACCATCGTGGGCCTTGAAAGGCAAGTCCTGTGGCAACACGGCACCCCAGAAAGGACTGAATCAGACAACGGGACTCATTTCCAAAACAGCCTCATGGCCACTTGGGCCAAAGAGCAAGGCACTGTGTGGGTGTATCACTTCCCCTACCACGTACCTGCCTCTGGGATGGTCAGAGGATGCAATGGGCTGTTAAAGACCAGCCTGAGAGCAAGGAGTGGTGGGACATTCCAACACTGGGATGCACATTTGGCAAAAGCCACCCGCTTAGTCAGCACTAGGAGATCTGCCAACCATGCTGGCCCTGCCCAAACAAAATGTTTACGTACTGTAGAAGGAGATAAAATCCCCCTAGTGCACATTAAAAATGTGCTGGGAAAAACTGTCTGGGTTACTCCTGCCTCGGGGGCACAGGCAAACCCATCTGCGGGACTGCTCTCGCTCAAGGACCTGGGCGCACTTGGTGGGTGATGAAGAAGGATGGGGAAGTCCAGCGTGTTCCTCAAGAGGATCTGATTCAGGGTGAGAATAGCCAATGATTTGAGTTGTATGATGTTACTTGCTACAGAATACTGGACGCCATCCCTCCTACAGCTGCTACATGCCACATCGACAGTATTGCAGCAGGGATCACCCAGGTGAATGAAGAATGGACTTTGGTGAAACCAAGCGAAGCGCGGTGGTGATGGAACCAGAACTGGCTTCGGCACGCAAGAATCCAACACTACACACCATCTCTCCTGCCCCAAAGGCTGTTAGGACAGGTGGAGCCCAACATCATGGACTACATAAACCCGATGGACATTGTAGAGGGATGGCCCACAGCCTAAGGGAACGGCATCTCTGCGTGTATATCCATCACAGGACAGGAAATAACTGGAACGTATTGGAAAGCGTGGGACCTGGGCATGATGTAGATGGTTTGGAATAAGGGGTGGATACTGTCCTGGTTTCAGCTGGGAGAGAGTTAATTTTCCTCCTAGTAGCTGGTACAATGCTGTTTCGGACGTAGCATGAAAACAGTATGATAACACACTGATGATGTGGTTGTTGCTACGCAGTCCTTACACTAAGTCAGGGACTTTTCAGCTTCCCATGCTCTGCCAGCCAGAGGGTGCACAAGAAGCTTGGAGGGAGCACCACCAGACAGCCACGCAGACTGGCCAAAGGGACATTCCATGCCCTGTGACATTATGCTTGGTACATAAACTTGATACAGAACCGGGGGGGGGGTCAGCCAGGGGGCAGTGATCGTAGCTCAGGGACTGGCTGGGCCTCAGTCAGCGGACGGTGAGCCATTGTATTGTGCATCACTTGTTTTGTACATTTTATCGGTAGTATTTTCTCCTCCCTTGCTGTCCTATTAAACTGTCTTTATCTCAACCCCTAAGTTTAACCCTTTTTTCTCCCTGATTATCCTCCCCCATCCCACTGGGGGGAGGAGCGAGCAAGCAGCTGTGTGGTGGTTAGTAGCTGGCTGGGGTTAAACCAGGACAGAAGCTGTGGCCTACATTTACCTCTCCAATTGTATTGTTTCCCTAAGAAAAACAACAGTGTGGGCAAAATACCTATAAACACCATTACAGCATTACTTTAGGACTTAGAGGGAAGATGATCATTTCATGCATAGCAGTATTTATTTATAATAAGAATCAAATACGTGCTTCGCTGGTGACTGCTGTAGGTGCTACACAAACACAAAACTGCAGTGTCCTGGCTGCTGTAACACGAGAGGACTTCGTCCCTTTCCCCACGCTCCTGTCGCTCCAGGGAAAGCAGACACAAGAACCACAAGCAGTGAAGAAGGCCAACGGCATCTGGGAGTGTATGAAGTGGACTGAGGGGAGGGATCATCGCCTCCTCCTCAGCACCTGTCAGACCACATCAAGGTGCCACGGCCAGTCTGGGGCCCTTTAATAACGGATAAGCTGGAATGAGTTCAGCGAGGCCCGCCAAGATGTGGGGAGGGGCTGAGGGGCTGGAGCTGGCTCAGCCTGCAGCAGAGACCATTCTGGGGAGACCCACCAGCAGCCCCCAGTGACTCTGTAAGCGGACTGGGGTTATTGAGGACACAGAGACAGTCTGCTCATAGCAGTGCACGGTGGGGGCCATGAAACAACACCGGCGAGTTGCAATGGGAGGCGCTGCCTGGGTATGTGGAGAAACGCTTTCCTCCCGAGGACAGCCAACCAGCAGGACTGGGGCCCGGGCAGGTTGGGGCAGCCTCTGTCCTTGGAGACTTCAGAGACCCAGCTGGACAGAGCCCCGAGCGACCCGGTGTGACTGCAGAGCCGAACCTGCCTTGAGAGCAGGCTGGACCCCAGACCACCCAAAGTCCCTCCCAGCTGAGCCTTCCCACCATTCCATTCCCCTTTCTTCACAGAATCATAGCATCACTTAGGCTGGAAAAGACCCTTAAGATCACCGAGGCCAACCACAACCCTGATATAAGGGACTGTTACTCTCCAACACCTACACAGGAACCACACCGTGGGCCTCTTGCCTTCCACTACCACACAGGCAGGCATGCCTGAGGTGGGCCTGGGAGGGGCCGGAGTTGACTTTTACTGGCAAACTGCCAGATCCTGACACAAATCCACATGCAAGTTTCTGAGGCCAGGGAAGCCTCTTCTAGCACTACACCAAGAACAGAATTCCGATCACAAGAACAAAGCCTGAGTATGTTCTGAGCCTCCTGTCCTCACATAAGCTGTAAAAAGGTTTCAGCCTCGTTATGACATGCTATTTCACATAGACCATCTCCAGTGTTAATAGAAACAGGATTCTTCTTGGCTGTGCATAATGGGGAGGGGGCATTCAGTGTGTCAGAATTCGGAACCAAGAAGAAACTTTTGTGTAGGTGTTTTCCTCTCAGAAATATTTTAGGTGTAAAATTTTTTTTAAATTTAGATATGACTAATACCTTTAAATGTATATATTAAATATAAAATTCTTAAACTTAGTTCCACGCTTCAGCTCGTCTAGTTAAACCATTCTTTGTTACTAAGAAGCAGAATTTGGGTAAAATATTACTGCAAATAATGGTTCTTATTTCTTCCCCTCCTCGCCCACTAACCTCGACAGTGTAACACGTCCATTACGTTTTCTCAACTCCTGCCTTTTCTACCACCTTTTCTATTTCCCCGTCATCTTTCTATTGACATCTAAGAGCCACAGCCAAATCTTATTATTTAACATAGAGAACAAGTGAAACCAGGCAACAAATCTTCTTAGATTTTTGTCTGTGTCTTTCTCACCACTGTCTGTAAGCCAGAAAAAAAAAAAATTAAATCTTCACGTATAATCAGTAGTAAGAGGGATGGTATTAACAAGCCAATAAATAAATTAGAAGAGTGTCATACGTGGACCATTGAGGCTTTAAAAGGAAAAAAAACAAATTAAGATATGTTTTAATTGTTAGCCAAGAACACAGAATATCAGACTTGATTCCGTTCAAATAAAAATTCACTTCCACGCCTCCATTACTCCAAAGAGTACAGGAAAGAGGCGCTCAAAGGGCAGATTTAATGTAGGACTTTTGTAATTTTGTCACTACTTACTCTGCAGCGGGGCCTGCTTACAGGCTGCCACCGAACGCATCCAGAGGAAGCTGGACCACGCATGTCTAAGCGATGTCGCCATGCTGACAGCAGAGGGGAAGCCGGTCCTGGGCAAGATGGAACGCAGACGGACACCGCAGCCTTTTTTCTACCAAACACCCTCTGAAAGAAACCATTTTTGTAACTGTTCAGGGTACAAAAGACCAGCAGTTTAATTTCTTGAATATCTTAAGGATAAATAAGGTTTATGCAGTATATTCTTCACTGTGTGCCAGTTGTTTAGAAGTCCCTGTCATTTAAGGTACTGACATCTGCCTCCTGCCCCATCAAATGTGGTACAAGACTCTATTTACTGAGAAGCACTCTGTGAGGGTGCATCATGAGCGTTAAAAAAAGTCTGGGTCTTCTCACGGGTTTTTTCACTGGTACCCACCCATCCAAGTCTTACATCCCTCCTCCTGTGCATGCCACAGAATTATTCCTGAAACATGCTTTTCTTGCTCACGACGTAAATGTCATCACCCGGTATAAAACCAGAAGTGCTTACGAACAACACCTGCTGTAGTTAACAAACTGTCTTGGTTTCATCTGTCTCAAAAGCGATACACCTTGAAGTGACGAAACACTCCCCAGAATCCCTTGAGTATTACCCCACATTTCACAGAAGCAGTAAAACACAGGTAAACACCCCAAGTTTTCATTGTCTACGGAAAAAAAAACTTGCTTTGGGGAGAAACTTCCGACGATGCTTAAACCAACCGTAACTGGAGGTGGTTTAAAAACACACTCATAAAAGAAGAAACAAACAAGATCTTTCTGAAGCTGCTTCATGTTTAGCGCTTCAGACCACCACCAGAAGTGTACATTTTCCAATTCCGAGAAGTAATGATTCACCATTTTCTCCACCTGCGTCGTGTTGCCGAAGCTACCGAACACAGATCTACAGAGCTGCTCAGAACTTGCCTTTGGAAGCTCGGTAACAAAAACGGTGAGAGGAAGGCGGCGGATCTGCCCTGTCAAAGGACGGTGTTCAAGCACCGGCCCGTTCTCAGCCTCACCCCACCAACCACCAGTTTACATCGGGGTATTCCCATCCTGAGACAGCGCGCTGAACACTCCTAAAGGTCTTGTCAGCGACGAGCTGCGATAGGCAACCTGTCGCGTCTATTGCTGAAGAAAATATTCGGCTTAAACAAAAAAAGTCGCTACTCCGTCAAAGCAGCAAAAGCGTGCCCGTTATAAAACCGGATCTGCCGGCTACTAAAAACCCCGAGTGAGAAACAGCGACGGAACCTCTCGGGGAGTACATACACTCTCTCCCTCGGGCGCACTTCGAGGCCTCGCTCGCGGTCCCCTGCATCGTTAACACAAACGCTCGGCCGGGCGGGGGCACAGCGCGACCCTC